CTAAACCCCCTGAACCCTGTAATCCTTGAACCCACAAGCCTGAACCTCAGACCCCAAGTCCCAAACCGTAGCCCTGAACCCTAACCCTAAAGCGTGAGGCGTTGTGTGCTGAGACGTGTCGCGATCTCGTGTTTTTGAGAAGGAGAAGTCGCAAGTGATCCCTAGCATTTTTGCTGAGACATGTCACAAATTCGCGTTTTTGAGAAGTCGCAAGTGAACCCCGAGAGAAGTCACAAGTGACCCTCCTCTCGAGAAGTCACAAGTGAACCCCGGAAGAAGTCACAAGTGAACCCCCTTTCTCCCAAGAGCATGGCGCGATCTGTGCTAAGCTTGCAAAACCTGCATCGCATAAGAGCCCTCTGCTGTAGAAGCGCACCTTGTTGCCATGACTCTGTGTGACGCAGACATGGCAGCAAGGATACAGGCAAAGAGCGTCGCAGCTATATCATCCACAATGTTGTTCTGACCTGCAGCCGCACAAGAAACATTGCCAGCTTAGACTCTGCAGCCGTGCAAGCATGCTTTATGAAGTTTTTAGAAGGCTTCCAACAGCTTATGGATAGATGCCGGACATGCTAGACCTGGGAGCGCTTGCGCAACAGGGGATCATGAGCTTATTGCGGCTGTTTTCAACATTACACTTAAAGCAATTGGGCAATGCGTCTCTAAAGGTGAAGATGCACCACAACTAAGTAGTGATCCCTCGCGCACCTGAAGTCAAGCATTGGCGACCGGAAAGTTTGACAGAAGCGGGCTGCTTTCCGCACACAAATGCTTGATCTTGCGTCGAAATTCAGGAGCCTGTTTGACCATGTGAAAGCAACTTGTTTTAATGTTTGCGTGAGCGCTGTTCCATGCAAACACGGCCTGTTCAACAGACCACCTCAAATGCCCAACGATGCCTTGAGCTTTCAAATTTTTGCGGTCCAACTAAGAACGGCCACGCGCCTTGATAGCCGCTTCAAAGGGAATCTGGACAGTCCATCTTCCAATTACCTTTTCTCGAGCCCTTTTCAATCGACTTACCCAGGCCCGATGTGGCCAGCTCGAGATCTGGTTCATGAACTCAAACAAGCCCAAGATGCCCGCGAAGTTGATTCATAATTGCATCCCGAAGCGCAAACACCCCAAAATGACTGATTGTTCAGCGTGAAATGTTTCGGCCAGGCACGTGCAGAGCTTCCCTGACGCCGGCTGCAGCTTCTGAGGGCATGCGCAAAGTGTGTTGCGGATTGTTGGGGGCATCGGACAAGTTGAGAGGGATTCGATAAAGCCACGAAACCCGAGAGACAGATAGTGACTTCAGAAAAATCCCTGCGAGGTGATGGCTCGCAACCTGGCTCCCAACCTTAATGCTTTATTGCAGTTACTTTTCTGAGTGTAGGAGTGCTTCTTCAAGGGATCTCGGTCAGAACTGATGTACCTTGAGTAGCAAGGGATTTAGACATTGATGTGTGGGTTTTCTGTTTTGTGGGCTTGGGAATCGATGCTGGCGCGTGTGGCCGCCCCGGGATTTCGACTGGGCATGGGGCGAAATCCAAAAAGTGCGATGCAATGATGTGTATAAACACCGAGCGTGTTTAGATGCGTGAGTGTGTAAGATGGCAGGGGCTTGAAGTCCATGACTTCATGATATCAACGTGATGCTTGTGTAGCTCATTCACAATCGCAAAAAGGGGAAAGATGGTCTGAGATGCTCCGTCCAGCTTTCGGGAGCAAACTACCTTTTCACACGCAAAGGGTCACCACACAAAATGCATCACCTCGGAAGATCATCTTCCAACACTCTGGCATGTGAACCTCGACTTAAAAGTGTTTGCTTTGATTTGCTAGTGCAGACCACCATACAGATGGCTTTTGTTGGTTGCGATCACATACGTTGGCTTAAATTCACCTGCGGTGATGCAACTCCAACCTGACTTTGGCTTGCCGCTCTTCTGCACAGCGCTCCCACTGATTGAACTGACTCCTCCTATAGCTCGCAGGATTGCCAGTTCTTAGTCCTCAATCTCAATCATAAGTAGTCTTTCACACAGGCTGCAACATGAGGCAAATCAAGCAAACTGGCCCGCTAGCTCACGTCGACAGACAATGTATGCTCAAGACTTGTCCACCACAAGCTCCTGCGTCCGTACCCGGCTCAAGCTGACTTGGGTCTGACTTGGCAGTGTCTTGTCTCGAACCAGGCCCCTCCACTTGAGTTGCGTTTGCGTGTATTTTGCACTGGCTTAAACATCTTCGGCCTGACGCGTGGAGAGCTTCCTGGATTTCTGGAAAGGGGAAGTGGTGACCGGAGCTATTATGGAGTTTCAGCTGATTTCAGAGGTGCCCATTTCTCAGAATGCATGACAGTCCTCTACCACATTCTCTGCAAGTGCCACCTGCAGCTCAGAAGTCCTGGCTCCAGCAAGTCTGGAGTGCAGGCTGGACATGTATGAATGCACAGGCTATTCCTTGCAAGGAGAGAACCGAAAGAAGTCCTATTCTGGACTCTGTGATGTCCTGCCATAAGCCTTTGCAAGCCCGCTCAGCAAAATGATAGCAGTAGACTCCCGACAAAGAGTTCCAGCACGGCCTTGAGTTGACCCAAGCAGGCCCCCAGAGGCCTAAGCTCATGGAGCCCACCTGAACCCCAGAACCTCAGGATTGCTTAGAATGAGCAAGAAAGTTTCTTGAACACCCAGTCTTAGGAGCCCCAGGCCATTACAGGAATCCTGAAACTCAGCGAGCCAAGAGCGTGATGATGCAGAATCTGAGAACCTAAGTTTTTGATATTGCCAGCTGGCACTAGCTTGCACAGGCGCTCCTGGGGCCATGGATCCTGAGGCTCGCGGCACCATTCATGTTGGAACATGTTGGAATCCTTTTGATTTGCTCTTTTCATGAGGTCTGAGTCCCAAAGCCGAACTGCTGACCCTTTACGGATCTAGATTGCGAGTAGGGAATCATTCGAGCTCAGGAAGCTGTTTTAGGAAAAGTGGCTGAGCTGTGTGAACCGCGATCTTTAGCCATGACTCCTGCACGGGGATGCCCCCCCAAAGGACTTTGCGTAGTCACTGTATATAGCCCCAGAGAGACAGACTTTTCACTTTGCCCTGCTCAGTTGCGTTCGAAGCTCTCCCAACGCCTGCGCGTTGTGGAGGGTATCCGTGCTTTGGTTTCTTGGCAGGATATTCGGAGCCAAGTGCTGGAGAGTTTCAGTGCAGGGCCAACAGTCGTCAGGAGTTCAGTCTGGTTGCACATCGCCAGCTGAAGCAGATGCTGAAGAACCTGCTGACTGCTTTTTCAGGGCGCAACAGGCAACAACTTGGCTTGCGGCCATTTCATGTTGAGGAGAGCATGTCAGGTCCTGCTTGCATTGGGACCCAGGCACTCGCAAATGCGCCGGCTGCCCCTTGCCCCTTGGGCTTGAAATGAGGAGACGTGCAGGCCAAGGTTGCTCCAGGAATCCACTCCGCAAATCATAAAACGGCAATGTCTGGCTGTACTGTCGGCTAGGCTTGTTCCATCCTTCTCGGATGCCACTCAGGCGACCCCAGATTTCAAAGCTC